GATGAAGGTTCAACGAGTTTCTTACCCAAGGTCATAATGAAAATGCCGTGGTTGAATTGAAGAATATAGGACCATTCCATGATCATTATGGTCTTCTTCTCTCTGATGATAAACACTCTTTGATTTCTTTATGCCTCAAAGCTGCATCTACAAAGTTTAATGAATATTGGTTGTCCAAACAAATTATGAGGGCAGGAATCATTCTTTTTGCATGTAAAAAAATGTAAATATATGATATAACGTTTTCTCTGTCTTGGTTATCCAAACAAATTAAGGGGTTGGTTTTTTCTTTGTCTTGATTATTAGGAGGGAGTGAGGGAGGGTGTTTTTTTTTTGTCTTGATTATTTAGTGGATCATTGTTTGAATGCTTATTGCGTTCAAGGATTTAAAACTCAGACTCGGCTCCTTGTTGAGCCGGGTACCTAGGTCCAATGCGGATCACTTTAAAAATTTAAAAAAGAAATTGTGAAAAATATGGAATCAGTGCATAGAGATTATTTATGCAAGTTGGATTTTTTTTACAATGATTTGTGAGTTTTCATTGGTTGTATTTTATTTCCTTTCAGCTTACACTTGGCATTTTCTGCATAATAGTTGATGACATGTAATTTAGTTGTAATTTTATATGTTTGAATGGGACTGGGATCCTTATTGATGTATTGTTTTCCAGATAAATTTGAATCATGTAAATCCTTATGGGTGAACTATTTGGTCTGTAACCTAGGTAGGGGGCGACACCAGGATGACTTTTCTTGGATTCTTGGACTCTTGAAGCTTTTGATATTTACTGTTATAAATTGACTGACTTTTCATATTGGTGTTCCTTTCTGGTGATGCACACCAATTTCAGACCAGATGGAGCAATTAATTTTCTAGTTGATGCTGTCTCAAAATGCCATATAAGTGAATCTTGGGGTTGTTTGGATTTGGTACAAGAAATTGTACTACTGTGTGCGTTATATGAGCCAGAGAGTTGCAACATAAAAAAAGTTTCTCGACCTGTAACCTAATTAGCATTTGTTGCTCTTCATACATTCTTGTGGGAAGTGCACCTACTTCTGACTCTGGCTACCTTTAATCCTGGCTTTCATGTTTTGTTTTGCCATGATTGTTATAAGCTTTTCTTTTCATCTCATTGTTACAGAGAAGCGCCATGCTCTATTGGTAAAGATCGCATCAGTGAGAGAAGTGGTATTAGGTGCTCCTTTGAGAGTGGTTCTTAAGCATCTCCAATCAAGGACTGTTGCTCCTGATATAGATCGATTGGTTGCACTTGTACACAGGCCTAAGGAGTCCTTTTTTCTTCTTCCTCAGGTGAGCTTGTCTAAATTCTCGTCTTGTGCTATCGTTTTTCAGTGATTGAATACTTGTATGTTTGCCATTTATCCTTAAAATTGTAGTTGGTGTGCAACAATTTTTGAACCACCAGGAGGTCGAGGGCACATAGGGAGAATTACAGACTATATATATTCGAGTTGTATATCTATTTATCGTGCCTATAGCAGTTATATTTAGACAGTTGGGCTTGTTTCTATCTTCTAGCATACATACACCATGAGTAACATTCATGAAATATTTACAGATACCTACTTGAGGCCCTAACATTTGAACTTCATGTAACAGACCCATTTTGCTTTGAGAGTAACCATTTTCTGTTACTTTTGCTTTATAGGCTTTTACCATATTGACAAAAAAACTGTATTGTTGTTCTATGATTTGTAAGCTATTATTGAAAAGTTCTAGTATTGACCACTTCCTATACCGTGTTTCAGGCAGAAAAGGTGACAGTGGTGTTTCCCATGAGATTTAAGGACAATATTGATACTGTTCTGGCCACCTCCTTCTTGCAGGTTATTGTTGACTCAAGATGTACTTCTATGGCTTAAAATGATAGAAGTTTCTTTTCATACAAGGTCCATGGTCCTGTAGATATATTCCCAATGGTTTCCATACTCCAAAGAGTCCATCCATGACGCTTGGATCCTATTTCAACTTTGAGATGTGAGGATACTTTGCTAATTTCAAATTGGATACTTATTCACGTCTCAAGGTTAGATAATGATCTGACGGTTGTGGATTCTTTCCATACAAACACCATACACAATTTTTGCTTCAGAAACATTTCCATATATACAATTTTCTAAGAAAATAGGTGATGTCCATAAAGCTGTTCTCTCCTATGTTTGAAGAAGAAAAATGGCGTAACTGCGAAATGGTCTTTTTCCAACCTTCAAATTGTACGGTAGAAATTTTGAAACTCTAATTATGGAACAAATGTTGAGAACTTAATTGAATACTTGTACAGGAATTTGTGGAGGCAAGACGCACTGCTGGCCTAAATAATGCACCTCCATGTCTCTGGTCCCCATCTCCTCCACTAGAGTTGAGAGGTGCTCCCAATCAAGCGTTAACTGCAAATGCTGGATTTGTTACTTTTGGTAATATTTGAACCAGAGCGTTGATGCTCATCTTTTTAGGGTTTTTCTTTTGTTTTTTCCATTTTTTTCTTTTCAGACTTGTTTTTCCTTTTCTTCCTTTTGGCGTATGTTGGATCTCAGAGATCTCCTTTCCCTTAGAAATATTAGAGAAAAGAAAGCTGTTATTTCTAGGTTTACTCTGCCTCTGATTCTTGGTGTTGTTCACATGTGTAGTCATTTTTCCACGCCATGTGGAAGGCCGAAAACTTGACAGAACAGTTTGGAGTTTGTCCTCATTTCATGCGTATGTCAGTTACCACGTAAAGGTAAGTTACTCCATTTTTCAAATGGACTTTCTTGATGCCCAGGACTTCAATAATGCTTTTGGCTTTAAAGTTTTGAGATCACATTTGTGATAAATAATTGCAAAGTGTCATTAACTGATAATACATTGTCAATCTGACATATGCAATGGATTATGGTTATGCCTTTTATGAAATGGCATTCATGAAAGTGAGGAAGCACTAAAATAGCAGAAGCAAAGTTTTATTATTGTTACATCAAATTGAAAGTGGTACAATTGCTAACGCTTGCCTGCAGTGCTCAGAGGGTTTCATGCATACCAGAATGAGGCGGCGAGTAGAATCACTGATTGAGGTATGAGTTTCATATTATCTCACTGTCTTAGTGGAATCCTCCCCCCCTCTCTCTCTCTCTCTCTCTATGAGTTTTGCGTATGTGTGCTGTGAGAGAGAGAGAGTAGCAGTGTTTGTGACAGCAGTGTATGAAGCAGTAGTAGGCTTAACCATCCTGACTGGCATTAGAAGTATAAGTGGCAGATTTGATTTTAATCTTGGCAGATCTAATGTTAGCTTTTAAATGATACAGGCTTTGGACAGAGCTAAACCAGAAGTCGAGAAGTCAAAGAAGACCGCCCATGGAAGGTCTTTCAAACGCCATGCATAGTGTGATGACCGAGTTTTAGCGCATTTAACTGCCGATGTGGGTTAACTTATTTCTCTCCCAGGAAGTTGGAAGTGTATTTAACTTTTAGAAATGGACAATCAGATTCTTTGTATGGTTTTTCTAGTTTGATGTTAGTTCTGTTAGTTTAAGAGAGAAATTGTACCATTTATTTCGGGAGGAAGTATAAGATGAGATTATTTGTTTTTGACCCAAGGACGTCACACTTATTTTTAGCCATCAAACATGAAATCTAAATCTTTAAATTTGATTTTGAAATCAAATGACTAAGGGTGCTCTATTGATTATAAACAAATCAATAACATTGTTTTTGAACTCTGCGCATTGTTCTTAGTGTCTAAATTTTAAATCTAGTAGTGTGATTTTTTTATGCCAAAAATAAGTGATGTGACTTTCTTATGTCAAAAATAAATGGTCTTGCAGTATACATTCCCTTATTTATGGGCAGTTGTCGTTATGCTTATGCCGGTTTATATATTGGTGGCTGGCGTAATCTCTGACCATCAAACACTTCGCTATTGCAAATCGAAAGCTAGGAGTTTTGTTTCATCGCATCTTACAAAAATGATTAAAAGATTAAAAAGATCCCATCTAGCCATGTAGGGCTTACTTTCATTTCAAGAATGCAATTTTCATGAAATTGTTAAAATCCTCAAATTACTCAATCGTGGGTTAGAAATTAGGAACACTTTTCCAATGTGCATCTATTTTTGTGGCACAAGCTATATTCCATTGGGGGTTGAAAATGGAATTGCCGAATGGAGTACGCACCCTTAGTTTTCTAAAAGTGTGTTGTATTATATTAAGATACAACCGTTGCATGAGATTACTACTTTAGGATAGCCATTGATAAATTCAGAAAAAATAAGAACAAAAACCGAAGGGTTTAACTGTAACAAAATTCAAAGAGGGCAGCAATGTCATCTAAGACATTAAAAAAAAAGGGAAAACATCCTATTATCCCTTTTTTAACTTCTATATCTCATCAGATCTAAGAATTGAAAATATTACTTGTAAGTAAAATGACTCATCTTTTCTATCTTTCAACCCTCTAAACTCTTTTGATTATGTATTATTGACTTCAACAACTTATGAAATGATTTCATCTCTTTCTCTCTTTAAACTATATCTCTCTCTCACATTATCGTCTTTCTCTCTTTCAAAACTCTCTCTCTCTTTCTCTCAAAACTCCATCTCTCTCTTTAAAACTCAAACTCTATCTCTCTCTAAAACTCAAACTCCAACTCTCTCTAAAACCCAAACTCCATCTCTCTCTCTTACATAAGAAGGTGTTCTCGTGTTCGAGCTCAAGCTAAACGTCTTGAATGGTAAACTCACCGAGAAGTGAAAAAAAGAAGATCAAGCTTAGTAGAGAGAGAGAGAGAGAGATGGAGTTTGAATAGGGTGTCATTTTAGTGTTTGTTTCGGCTAAAATTTTATGGTCAAAGGGATTCAAGGGGTTGTAAGATAGAAAAGATGGAGACTTTTTGTTTGCAAGTAATATTTTCAATTTTTGGATCTTATGTGATATGAAAATTAAAAATAGGGAATAAGAAGATATTTTCCCTAAAAAAAATTGATTTTCGAAATACCAGCTCTTCCAAAGATTCTGACAAGCTTCAATATATCTGGGCTCTACTTAACTTGAGCCAAACAAAATTACAATGTTTTGACTTGACAAGGTTTATAGGCTGAGATGCTTAGCCAAAGCCCAACTCAGAACAAAACTTTTGTCAACAAAGATAAGAAGACTTCAGATATGAGTTTGTAACTGTACTTTAGCCATGAGAATGTGGAACAAATGCACCAAATCAAGGTTTGATGTGGCAGAATGAGATAGAATGACTACATGGGAACATTGTGGAGATCAAGGACGACATGTTAGCAGACATGGCAAATGTGTACCTGTCCACTTTAAAAGAAACTTCCGCAAAAGAAAACAAAAAAGAAAATGAATTCAGGTTTGGATGAAACATCCTTTTTTTTTGTTTGGGTAAATATGGATGAAATACCATTGATGGATGATGTATGCACAAAAGAGAAGCTTTAGTTCTTAAGTCATGGGATAATCATTGTGGAGACCTCACTTCTTATATCTGAGATGTTCCTCATCAGCGGTCAGTTCTGAGCTTGTTGACATAGTTAAGAAAGGGCAGTGTTGCACCACATTTTCGAGGCCCGTGAACACGAATTGAGCGACGTAAAACAGCAGTGTCCATGATATTGCGCTGAGCAATCTCCTTGGATCTCTTCTGGATTCCAGCACTGAAACATAGCAAAAGGATAGGCTGCATCAACGTCACATGAGAAAAATTAAGAAGAAACCACCCTATGGATCCAAACCCCTTGATAAAACTCTATTATCACCTCTGTTATTCCCACATTTGCCACCTACCAAAGATCCAAAAAACCATCCTATAATGGATTCTGATCTACCAAAAACGAATATTACATTCTACACCTTGTGATCCCCAATTGATCTATGGAGCAACAAACCATTAAAATTGGAAGTGAGCAAAGTCTATGAACTCTATAGTTAGACTTTAGACAGTCCCTTAGTAGATTATAGCATTTTAAGAAGACAATGATAACATCATCCTCCTCCTTGAGCTCGTCAATTTGCATCTTCCCAGTCTAATACAGCTGATAACCTTAAAATGGTCCCTACAATTGCCATCATGTGAAACAACTTCAGTTTCTTCCTCTAGGTTTCTCCCTCAAGGTAATATTTTAATGCAAAAGAGAATCACCTTTTCATCATAGTTCAACTGTTCAGTTACTGATAGATATTTCAAATTGTGTGGCCTTGGCCAGAAGAAAATTCGCATTCAGAAAAGAAAAAAGAAGATAAAAGGTGAAAAACAACCTCAGGTAACACCTACAGTGGCATAAATTTTGTAGCTTATCACTTTTAAAAGCATTTATTGCTGAAAAGAACGGTATGCTGGTCAGAAGAAAGGGAAATACATGACATCTCGGTAAATTAACAGTTGTCTGGGCTTCACATTCCTCCCCCTGTCCCTGGAGACTGGTGCATACATTCGATGAGATTTTCCACCTTCGCACTAATACACATGTTGTATGGAGATACATATGGAGGAAAGCCAATTCCGTCGCAGATGTCCTAACAAAGGTGCTACTCACCAGAATTCTTACAGGTCTTTTGAGCACCTTTGACAGCAATCGAGCCCCACCTCTACCTGCTTATTTTTTTATTGTATATATACGTATAGCATTTTTTGGGCCCCACAAGGGGTCACTGTTACGGAGCACCCCTGTTAGGAGATGCTCCTTCTCTTGTAACACTTTTACTCTTACTTAATACAGTTAACATTTTCAAAAACTATCAGTTGGCTGTGCAATAAAAATGTGTTTTGGAAAGATAATTTGGAGTTCCACACAACCAGGGATCCACACCAAGTAGCTTGCACATGGAGATACAAACGGCATAAATGTGAAATGAGATGCAAAATGCATGCTAAGTAAGGAAAGTTTATGCAGAACAAGTCACCCACCATAGCCTGTTATAATGTTTCTCAACCTGTCCTTTTAGAGCCCTTTCCTTCTCACCCTTTGGATTCAAGGATAGCAATAATCCATCTAACTGCAAAAGGAAAAAAAGAAAGAGAAATATAGCTTACATTTATAGAGAAAGGCAGTAGAATACATGTGTTTCTCTGTGTGTATGAGAGAGAGAGCATTCCACATCATTATAACACTAGATGCCGCACATGTACAAACATACACAGAGCCCCAAAGCTGAATTTAGTAACCAAGTGTACCTCGTCCTTGGAAGAATAAAAACCCAATGGTTGTGATCCGCACTCTCAACGAACAGCCTCCCATCTCTGTCCTTGCCTAACACACTGGTTCTTATGATTTGTTTCTCTATTTCTCGATTAAAGTGCTCTTGCTGTAATATATGAAATATGATTGAGATGTCATGTAATATACAAAATAATTCAGGGTTAAGTGCCTTTATGTGCATGCTAATTTTCATCAGAAACATCTCAAATGCCACAGGCTTCATCATGAACCAACAAATGGGTTTTATTTCTTCAACCTACCCTCTGCTCCTTCAGTTTCTTTTCTCTTGCCTGCTTTCCTTTGTCACACAGCCTCTTACGCTCCTCCATCTGTATCCTTTTTTTTTGTCTTGCTTCATGCATTTGTGCATCTAATTTCTGTTTCATTATTGTCCTTCTTGACAACAAAGTGGCCTGTTTGTTCCCTCCGTGAAAAAGCATAAAGGAACACATAAAATGTTATTGAGTTCCAACGGTTCATAATTATCTGAAAACTCTGGATCAATTTCAAGCAAGCAACTGGGCAAGATAAGAAAGTGTGATCATTTGCAAATTAATGTGCCGAACCTTTTCTCATAATACATAGTATAGTGTGTGTGTGTCTGAGAGAAAGAAAGAGAGAGAGTGAGAGGGAGCTGTAATCACTTCATGAACTTTACAAAAATCGAAGAGTTCCACAACCAATCAGATAAAGCAATAAGCATGAAGTGTTCACCTTTATGAGTTGCATTTTCAAGCCACAACGTGCATTTATGGAGTCTATATTGTGTTATTTTCTAATCTTTTTAGGTAGATAGTCAACATTAATTAGTAATAGCTTACTTCTCATGTTGTATTGCTCTCATCAAAGGTTTGCTAATTGCCCCATCTTGATATCAAAACTAGTTCATGTAGCACTCCGATCATCATTTCTTCTCACTGACACCATTATACTCTCTCAAGTTTCAAGTTCAATCAGAAATTACTTCAAGGCATTCACAGAAAGGCAAATAGTAGAATGTCACTGATGGGCTCCCAGATTCAGATGGACAGCCCAGAAGAAGAGAGTCGTATGCACATCAAGTGCAGTATCATCCTGACAGTACAGATGTATATGTCTGGCTGTAACCGTGTAAGAGTACATGTGGGTCCAAGCACTGTAGCTCATAACTATAGGGTTCCACATCTCAACCATTAGATGCCATGTTACAAGCATCTTCAATGCATTCAATGCTTATATGAATACAATGATATACCCAATCCCATGTTTAAAAAGAAGGCATGACCATTTTCAACCCAACAAAGAGTACTCACCCATTTTCAAGAGGCATTACTTCCTGCAATGAGTATTTCCCAGGTTGCAGAACCTCTTTGATATCCCCATTTTTCCTGGAATTAGTGTCTGTCACAGCCCCGCCTCTTGTCCCCTTGCCGTACACGGCGGTATCACTTGCACGCACGGAGGCATCCCTTGCACACACGGCAGTATCACTTGCACGCACGGCGGCATCCCTTGCACACAAGGCGGTATCACTTGTACGCACGGCAGCATCCCTTGCACACACGACGGTATCACTTGCACAAATGGCGTCTTACACGCACGGCGGCATCACTGCCCTTGGTCAAGCTTGCTACTTTCTGCTGCTGTTGCCCTTCTTTTCTCTTCGTTAAGTCCTCCAGTTCTTCCTCCCGTTTAGTCAACATAATAGCCTGACATTGCTCAATATACTCATCCAATTGCCCTCTGATTGCCTCCGTCATAAGAGCCCAATAAACCAATTCAGAAAGGATGTTTAATTTGACCATGACATCAAGCATAAAGTGATAACCATCCCTAATTTTTGTCAATTGACCCGAAAAGGCAGAAACAGTTTCCATTTGTTAGAATTCACATAAATAACCAGTCCAATTCTTAGACATGATCTGCAAGCGAACAGCAAGGCACCAAATTATCGGTTTGAATGATTCACAAATCTTACAACCTTGTAGGGCCTCTGTATTCAAGTGTAAATAGGAAGGTAAAAATGGTTACCTTTAAGTCCCTCTTCTTTTCCTGTATAGAAGTATGGTACTCACTTTCATCTTTAATGAGCAAGTGTAAAATGGCAGAATGAGCCTCTACAATGAGGTCTGAATCACTCTCTTTGTACACTGCCGCATTTTCGAAGTCATCAAGAGAGAATTGGAACAAGCGTAGAACATGGCTAAATGAAGAGAAGAAATCCCAAGCCATTAAAAGATCCCCAACACAATCCATTGGCACAAGGAAATTCATAACTGGTACAGGACGCTGGGTAAATACAGGATCATCGTCACCTGGCTTCACCAAGAGATCATCAATTGGGTACTGAATCTGTTCAACCAATGGTTCCTTCTCTTCTGCAAAAATCATAATCTAAACTTGATTATGATAATTATGTCCACACACGCAAGAGTAGCACTTCTATTATACTATTTCATATTGGAAATGAAAAAAAAATGGAAACAATTGCAACATAAAAAATTTGACGACACCATAGGAAATGACACAGAACTAAAGAATTTTAGACATACAGCCCACGTTGCAGGTTCACATACCATGCTATAAATCAACTACAAATGGGAAAAAATCTGTGGCGAACTGCTAAAGTGCCCAAATCCTCTTTTTGAGAGGCCTTATGGGCATTTGTTTCGACCCCAATATGGCCATACAAATTGACAGTGAAAATTGAAAATTTTGAAAAAAGAGGAAAATTTTATTTAAGGAGAGAGGAAATAATGAACGCAGGCCATCCAATTTAGGAAAGAAAATGGCGTCAGATTGAAGCCCTAGGGGGATTGGTATGGCCCTATCTTTTGTACATTGCATGACAATAAGATGAAAAATTTAAAACAAAAAAAAAATAACAATGGTTTTGGGTTCTTAAAGGGAAAGATTAGCCCATGAAATAGAGACAGCCTGCACTCACTGAGCTAAAAAAAACCATTTTTCAGTGCTTCTTTTCTGAAAAATTTCTTCATGGGTTTCTTCAGTGAATCCAAGAGAATGTGCATGCCAAATTTGGGCTAAAACATGCCGCTCCTCCCCTACCCAAGGATGTAATAGGAAAAAACGGAAATAAAAAAACGAAAAAAAAAATAAAATAAAGGAAAAAAGAATAGTTGAGAAAAGGGAAAGCTAAAATTACGTTTGTCGACCCCTTTGGACTTTTTCTTAAAATTGTTATCTCTAACTCTTTCTTCTGTTGTGTTTTTATAATACCCTCCCCCCTTGTACTCTCTGAGCACCCAATTTGTGGGCTGCCATTTTAAAACTCCATGTGGTTCTGTAATTTTTCTTTCTATTTAACCATTCAACCAGTTTCAAAAAAAAAAAAATGCCCCTAAGATGCCCAAACATGCAAAGGCCTTATTAGAGTAGCAGTCTGCCTTTGGGAGGATAAAATATTTTCCCATAAAAATAATCTACAAACAAAGGATCAAGAGTAAATAGTACTTTATAAAGCGTGCAGCCTTCAAACTCTATGCTCGAGGTAGCTTTAGGCAGAAAGGAAATAGATTCTTTGAAAGTATCGTGGAACCCAACCACTTGTTGTAGTTAAATTGAAACGAAAACCATGCAAGGCAAATAAAACATGAAGGAGCAAAAGAATACACAAATGTATGCGCACACAGACCACTGTTTGACTCAGAAGACATAGTGATAAGTCAAGAGATGAGTGAGAAATACAACAAGAACTCAGCATCAGAGTTTGACACTTGACAAATGGCAACAAGGCTGGCCAGTGTCAACTTGTCAGCCATGAGATAAGATAGTATGATAGGAGCCAGCAAAGTTTCCAACTGCTAATTGAATGATGCACTTCAACTACATATAAGGAAAGCATGATGATTACAACATAAACTCAGGATTAGCTATTTTAAACTTAATAGTATAGACCTGCCTTCCTCTTCCTTTTGTTTGCCAAATCTTCTGTTTCCCCATGTTCAATATTTGGTCTCTATTTTTGCACAACTGTTTCCCTTCCAATTCTCCTGGTCATGAATCACACTGGCCATCCTTAGATGAAGCTACTATTCAAAAATATATAAATACGTCCCAAGATTGGAAATGAAAAGATCAGTGAACTCTTAACAAAGAAATCTAATTAGAATTCAGTGGATTAAGACCAATAATTATGTTGATTACAAGTAGGTCAAATAGGCATGAATCATGAACAACACTATTGTTTAGGAGGTTCATAAAAGAGGTACAATACATATTGGGGTTTGTGGCCTTTAAAGGCCGTGAGAGCATGTAAACATAATAAATCATTGTGAATTAAACACTACTAGTGTAATGTGGCTTACTGACCTAGAATTAGGCTGACCACAGCCAGGGTCATGTCCAAAACCCTCACCCTTAAGCATGTCGCACTACTGTTGATAATCTATAGAGGGTCATCCCTTGTTGAGGTCGGAAAGATGCCCAGGGTCATTGTTTGAAGGCTATGAGAACCGTGTACTTGCCGATGTGCAGATAAAGACTTGTGAGGGAAGGGTCAAATCCTCAACAAAACCTCCACACGCCATTATACATATGACAACAACATTTTGAGAAACAATCCTATATAGAGTGACACATGTACATGTACATAGAGAAAGCCCCCTTGCAGTATAGTAATATGTGCACGTGACTTGCTCTTAAGAGGGAAACCTCTAATAAACATACTAAGACAATGGTTCCACTGTTTATTGGATAGCTTTGACGAGCCAATCCTAAGCCCCTATATGGATTTAGAGAAAACAAGTACATCATCAATATTTACAATCATGAATTTAGTATAAGGATTGAATATGTCATTCATAATGTTTTGAAATTCAGATGGTGCATTTTTAAAATCGAAAGGCATAACGTTCCATTCATAATGCCCAAAGGGGACATTAAAAGTTGTTTTATAATTATCTTTTTCTGCTATTTGGATTTGCCAGTATCTATATTTGAGATCAAATTTTAAAAACATACAGGCATTTACCAGTCTATCCAATAGGTCCCTTTTGTTTGAAATCGGGTACCGAATCCATCTTAATGCTTTATTTAGTGGTTTATAATTTAGAACCAATCAAGGGGCTCCTCATTCAATTTCAGAGGCCTTTCAACATAAAAAGCTAAGCAACTCCAAGGTAATGAACTTTTCCTAATAAGCTTTTTATCAAGTCTCTTGTATTTCTTTTTTACAAATTTCTAAGAGCCTACTATTCATTTGAATAGGCCTTGCTTGAGTAGGAATCTTACGCTCATTCAAATCTGGTTCATATAGGAGTTCAATTGTATGCTGTTTTCTATTCAAGAAGGCATTAGGGACATCAGAGCATATGTCCTTTTCAAGTACTATTTTGAAAGTACTAACCTTATGTTGTATTTATGGAGATATCCATTTCTCCTCAATGGTCTTATACTTAATTACTTCTTTTAAATAATAAAGGAATTTTTTTTTTGTAGATATTTTATTCTTGATAGTATTTATTTTATGTACTCTAGGTTTATCTATGAAGGTGAAGTTTACCTCATGCCCTTCAATATTAGCCTTAATGCATTTAATAAATTAATGATAAAACATAGAAGGAATGTGAAATTCTTTAAATGGCTTAAATATATTCTCAAAATAAAAGGAATTAAGCTCCCAAAGTTTAAAATAAACATGGTTGAAAAATCTTTTCAGATATTTCATACTATTAAAGGTGAGACTGTCGAATCGATCCATCATCCTGAAACGAGTTTACATTGAAAAGGAGAAAAGCTTGAAACTAAAACTTCACCCTTTAAGTTAGGGCCTATAGAATCTGACAATCATATGTCCAAACTAGAGGGTATACCACACGTCATAGAACAAAATAACTACACAAATCTTTTCTTACAAACTATAGAAAAACAAACCACTAGGATTGAAAACGGCTCAAATAATTTAAAATCTGTAAAGAAAGAAAAGAAAGAAGAAAACTTAAAGAAAGCGGCATTATTTAAACCCCCACCAAGTATAGGATTGCAAGGAATAAAGACAAAGGAAGATAACAAATAATTAGTTGATGAGCTAGTCAAAAGGCTTGCAAAAGTACACATTAATGAGGGAAAACCTCCTATTATTGGAAAAGTACAAGTTCTACAAAAAGATCAAGATTATACAAACCAAGAAATTTCTGAAATAGAAAATGCTTTTAAAATAGAAGACATACATCTTAACAGAATAGATTATAGAAGAAAAATCAGGTCAGCCTCCTAAACTAGAATGTACTATCCTCGATCCACTCATGTTGACCTCCAAATAGAAGATCTCATTTTCAGTTCAGTTTCGTACTCCGGTAAGTATATCATTAATTAGAATATAGACGGTATGTCAGAAAACCAAATATTTGACCTAATGAAACGTATGACTATGTATGCCACTTCATGTAAGACCAGTGGAAATAAAGATCATGAAATTGCTAAAGCTATGACTTTACAAGATGGCTTAGAGGATGGTGGGATTTTCATATGGATGAATTTGCTAAGGACCAAATCCTTAATGCTACTAAACAATGGCTTGTTAAAACTGAGGTTGGCCCTGGACAAGTTCAATAAACCATAGTCGATGAAGGTGATGCAGTTAATACACTGATTTACACCATCAGCCTTCACTTTGTCGGAAGCATGGCTCTTTTAGCCGCTAGATCTGAGGATTTGCATTCAAATTTATGTTGCCCTACACTTTCCCACTTTAAGTGGTATAAAGATGTTTTCTACTCGAGATTATTATCTAGGGAGGATAGTATGGTGGATCATTGGAATGAAAAATTCATATCCGGCCTTCCTCATCTTTTTGGTGAAAAAGTTAAAATATGACTTAAAAATAAGCATGACAGAATTATCCCCTATTCTCAATACACCCTAGGAGAACTATCAACAGAGGTATGTGCTGAAGGTCTTGTTTTATGCACAGGCTTAAAACTCCAGAGGCAATTAGTAAAACAAAAGAATAACATGGAAAAAAAAATTAGGAGACTTTTGTAAACAGTTTGGGTATAATACTTTACCCTCAGCTAAACCCTCTCACAAAGAAAAATATAAGAATTTACAAAATTCAAAATATAAACAAACACAAAAACAAAAACAAAAACTAAAATTTCCTAAAAAATTTATGCAAGATTACTCTTTCAAACAAAAGGGAAAAAGAAAATACTTGTCTGTTATAACTGTGGAAAGGTAGGTCATTATAAAAATAAATGTAGAGTTAAAAAAGAAAATCAGTGCACTTGAAATCGATGAAAATATCAAAAAAAAATTATTTGACATTTTATTAATAAATGGAGACAATTATGATAATTCTTCTAACTCTGATGAAAAAATTTTAATTGGAGAAAACATGCTCCATTATTGTAGATTGCAGCATGACAAGCCTTTTAGACAAAGTCATAACCGTATTTTAATTGGAGAAAACATGCTCCATTATTGTAGATTGCAGCATGACAAGCCTTTTAGACAAAGTCATAACTCAACGGTTATGCTCTAATCAGATTGTTAAATTTTAAGCTCTAATCATTTCAAGATTCTTAGACGTTCATAAATTGGTTTGATCTACACAATTTTTAGCGCTTAAAATTTTATAATTAGATATTAAAACAACTTTTTAGGCCATCATAAAGGTTTTCCGTGCCAAACCAACATCTTTTTGACAAAATTTGAAGGTGTGCCTTACTTTGATCGTTTAGACCCTCAGCCTTATATACAAACCACACGCTTTCTTATTTATATTAGGAGTATACTTTGTTTTCAAAAAATTGGAAAAGTTACTTGATATATTGTAAATTTGGATCCTGGTTCACGAAATACCTTCCTCCTAAAAGCCCAAATTTATTGTTTGGGGTTAAAAACATTTCTATTGCAATGATTATTCGTTTATTTGATTATTGACAATCTCTCAGGAAGTGTGTTCCAGTTCCTTTTGGACCTGACACGAAACACCTGCATTCATTCATGGCCTCAACTCTACTTTCTCCCTCGTCACCCTTGATCTCTCTAAACGGCACTGAAATCTTGAACCTTGAGCCTCTCTCTAATGGCAGGAGGCGTGCTCCAATACTACTCCCTCTACCCAATATCGACATATTGAAGAGATATTCTGCCTCATAAATAATCCTTCTATTCGAAAGCTACTAAAAATTGAGTCTCGATATTTGAATTGTTGTATCAACTCTTCACATTTTTTCACATATATGTGGTACATAAACAAGGCCTCAATATATACCATTACAGTGGTTTGTTTACTCTGTGGGGTATCATCCTTCCATTCCCTGGATCATGGAAGATTAACCTCCAATATATAACATCCTGGACTATGGAGATTAACCTCCAACGTATAACATCCTGGAAGGGTGGTATGTACCCGTTTGTCGTACCATTACCATACGCTCGGGGTGTATAGCGAATATTCCGAAGGTCTGAAGGAAAAAAAGAAGAA